AGACACAGCGATCGCTGTGGATGGTGGCCCTTGCTGCCATCCGAGTCTGGGGCGCCTATCACTGTCCTGGTGGCCTGGTCCTGGGTGGCTGGAGCCCTGTGGGGTAGACTGTGAACCAGGAGGATGCCCGCCACTCAGCTTGGTTGCGGTGCTCTGGGGACCCGGGGGAGCTGGGTCCTTGGAAGTCAGGGTCCTGTTTGCCTAGACAGCGATCGCTGTGGATGGTGGCCCTTGCTGCCATCCGAGTCTGGGGCGCCTATCACTGTCCTGGTGGCCTGGTCCTGGGTGGCTGGAGCCCTGTGGGGTAGACTGTGAACCAGGAGGATGCCAGCCACAGTCAGCTTGGTCTCCGCTATCAGAAAGGGCCTGTGGGAATCAGCTGGATGGAAGTACCAGCCCTGTGTCCTTGTGGGCCTTGGCGGGTTCCAGACTACAGGACTGGAAGAAGTCACTTCCAGGGTGGCTGCAGGATGCGGAAGGCCAGCCTGAGTCTCACCCCTCTGCAGGCCTGCAGCTGGCCTGGGTCATGGTGGGGACAGGAGCCCACCATGCGGGGCTAACCAGAGAGCTTTGCTGATGGTGGGCCTGGAAAGCCTGCGGGATCTTCCCAGCACTGAGCCTGTCCTCCGGGCAGTCCCTACAGCAAACAGGGTTCCCACGCCCTGTGGGCACCTCCGGTCCTTCTTCCTGTGATCCGGGGAGGCAGGGCTCTGACTGCCTGCAGCTGAATGAGGTCAGCCCTTGAGTCACAAGGACACAGCTCAGGTAGGGTGGGACATCCCGAGATGCTAGGTGGCCACCTACTCCCACTTGTCATCAGGTGAACCTAGGCAAGCTCTTCTTCCCCAGAAAGCAGGGGTGAGCAATTAACCAGTAGTGTTGCTTAAGGAGCACAGACCTGCTCTCACCCAGAACCTTCCATATCTCACTATTGCCCCGGTAGTTCACAGTCACATGTGGCTATGCTATACACGAAGGGAAATGACCAGTGCAGGTCTGTGTCCCCTGCCACCCTTGACTGAGTCAGCATGAGATGTTTAAAGCTGGCTCCGCCAACCTTGGAGGAGGCTGGCAATCCTGGACTGGAAGCAGACCTCGGGGACAGGGCTGTGGGCTGGCTGATTGCTGACCACCTGCCAGGCATCCCAGGGACACAGCAGGCCCAGGAGCAGATGGCCAACATCACCATCAGCACTCTTGATGCTTGGTCCTTGTGGGGTGCAGCTAGGTAGATAAAGAGCGTGGGAATACAAGCTCCCAGGGGCCACGTGGCACACTGGTTGGGTCCACACTGCCTTCGCCTGCACCACCCAGCCAGGGGCAGAGGATCGCTGATTCTGCCCTCTGAGGCAGGAGGTGGTTGGTACCAGCCCCCCAGTTAGTAGGCATGGGTGTGGGTGTGCTGCAGGGCAGAGGGGCCTGAGTGCACGGGAAGCCCTGGGTCCCGGAGGGGACACCCAGCTGCTTGATGCCTCGCAGTAACTCCGAGGACCAGAGACAGCGGGAGAGGAGCCAGTCAGGCCAGAGGGCATGGCTGGGCTCTTGGGCTCCTCACAGCTCCCAGAGTGGCCACATGAGCTCCTGAGAGGACACGTGGCTTCCTAGATCCCCACATGCAGCTGTCTTCAAAGCCCTCTCATGCCACCCTGTCTCCTGGTACCCACAGGCCCTCTGCCAGGTCAGCCAAGGGCAAGACCTACCAGCAGATAGGCCAGGCATCAGAGGCCTAGGGGAAGATGGGCCTGCCTGGCTTCTGTGGCAGGAGTGCCACCACAAGATGGGAACTGCCCCTGTTGGCATCAGCCTCAGGACAGGGTGATGCCCACAGCCCACGCTGGCAGGGGCAAAGGGGCTGTGCTCTAAGCCCGTCGTCCCTGGCTCTGTACTTCCTGGTGAGGATGCCTGGGCTCCATGGGGACACAGTGCTGCTGTGCCAACCCAGGCTCTCTCTGAGGAGCCACCGTGGACTTAGCTGCGGGGCTGGGCCATGGCCTCAGGTAGAAACCCTCAGTTCTTCATGGCGCTTTCAAAGGATGCCCTCGCTGGCCTTGCCATGGGGCTCATCCTGTCCTGTCACTAGTGGATGTCATGGCCAGTCAAGGTCCAGGTGCTGTGGGCCACAGGAGTGGGGGTTCAGGGAGTGCCTGGGGGACACGGGTAGCCCAGGGGGGTCTGCAGGCAGGTTCCCCATGGCCAGCCCAGCCCGTCCATTCTTGGCACAGGTTTTGGGTGGTTCAGGGTAGAGGGTTTTAACCTCTCCATCTCAGACTTGGGGCCAGGCCAGGCAGGATGTCCTGGGCCCAGGGTCTCAAGTGGAAGCCTGGGCCCCTGGATATCCACTTGTGCCTGTGGAGGAGAGGCAAGGACAGGGCCCAGGGCTGGGGCAGGAGGGAGGAGGCCGCCCCTGACACAAGCCCCTGGGCCGAGCGCATTTCTCTCCTCCCAGGAAGCCTGAGAAGGGTGTGCAGTACCTCATTGAGCGTGGCTTCGTCCCTGACACGCCGGTGGGTGTGGCCCACTTTCTGCTGCAGCGCAAGGGCCTGAGCCGCCAGATGATAGGCGAGTTCCTGGGCAACTGGCAGAAGCAATTCAACCGCGATGTGCTCGAGTGAGTTCCGGGCCCTGGGCGGGGGGCACAGAGCTGTGCCACACTGGCAGAGACATCCTCCAGGCTCACCCTGTTGGCAGGGACATCACAGTCGTGCCTCGGTGTCCTGGGGCCGGGTGTCGGGACCCCTGCGGAATCCACACTCCTCCAAGGCTCTGATCCCCTACGAGATGCAGCCTCATCTGCACCTAACCTGTGCACACCTGCGTGCCACGCCGGTGCTGTGTAAATGTCAGAGGTGGAGCTGCACCTGGGATCCACACACGGTCCCCAGGGCATGCACAGGGCCGGACACAGCCTGGGGACAGGCGCCTGTTCTCAGGTCGGGACGCCTTGCTGCAGGGGAAGTGATGTTTAGTTTGTGCTCCACTTGCCTTACCTTCGAGCCCTTCCACCTGATGGGTCCGTGTGAGAGGGAACCCACTCTCGGCACCGTAAGCTGAAGGCCGGTTTCACACCACAATAAGTGATTAGAAAGAGGACAGGGTGACAGGAAGCCGTCCTGTTGGGTTCTGGCCACCCTGCCTGCCTCCAGTCCTCCTCCTCACCTGTGGGGAGGTGACTGTGACAAGGCAAGGCCTTCTGCTGCCATCAGGGGGCAGCAAGGGGATGGGCAGACCAAAGAGGGATTGTGTCCCTGTCCCTGGGAAACTCCCCTTGCAGATCAAGGGCGGCTTCTAGGGACGTGGGCCAAGGTCCCTCTGGAAATGGCATTGTGCTGTGTGAAAAGGAGCAGAGCTGGTAGGAGTCACACCCCCCCTGAGCTTGTTGGGCTCCTCCATTGCCCAGCCTACTCCTTTGCCTGTTCCCTGTCTGCCTGGGTGGAGGACCCTATGGGGCAGTGTCTCCTACTCCTCCCAGCCTTCCTGCTGGGGCTTAACGGTGTCCTTGCGCCACCTGCTGGTGGGGCCACCTTAGCGGGACAGCTGAGGGAACCCCTGGATGTTTTCCCACAGAGGAGAGCAGTGGCCAGGGTCAGGCTGCAGAGCTTGGCTCCAAGGCCTGAGCCAGGTGGGGTGCGGCCTGGGCTCCCCGCTTCACTCCTGGGAAACCCCACTCCAGGAAAGCGTAAGGGAGCCGAGAGCCTCAGATGGGCACATGGGGAAGCTGCCCAGGGACCTCTGAGCCCTGGGCCTCTGCCAGGCTGACCGATTGTGGTGGTCAGAGAATTCCTGGGAGCCCCAGTGGCAGGGCCAGCAGAAATCAGCCGGTAGGGTGGCGGCTCTGGAGGCTGTGTGTCCAGTGTTTGGGTTTCCAGCCCTCACAGCAGTGGCTTTAGAGTTCACAGACATCATCACATGCCATTGTCCTTATACCCAGGCCAAGAGCAGGCACAGAGTACCACGATCCCAGGAGGGAGCCCCTGGTTCTGACCCCAGCCTGGGCTGTCTGTGTCCCCTACAGGTCTGGGTGGTCTGTGCGGGGCCTTCTCCTGGTGGGGGATGTGGAGGAAGTCTGGGGACAAAAGGGGCTGCTCTGTGTCTGCAGGGCTGGGAGGGCTATGGCTCCACTGGGAACCAGGAAAGGGCTGCTCTTCTGATCTGGTTCAGAAACTGGAACCTGGGGATGAGCTGAGAGCTTCGGCTACCACGGCCCAGGCCCCAGGCACACTGACCCCTTGCTGCTGTCCCCCACTCAGGCGTGGACGATGGCGAGGACATTCCCCGGGAG